TCACTTGCAAAGCGGAAAATTTTCCAATTTTTCCTTTGAAACTCTCCGAATTTGTCATAAAATGACTTTTTACCAAGTAAATAATTAATTCACCCCTTCTACTCAACATTTGTGATACTTTCGGTGGTTTCACTTCTTGCAGTGAGAAACAGATTCCTCGAGACAGCCTGGTCCTCAGATTGTTCAACTTCCTTATACCATATGGATAATTATTTTAGCAATCGAAATGTTCTTTGACTGTAAATGGTGTGTAATTTTTTCAAGATAATTCTCTGTAAATAATTCTGTTTCCAAAATCCTATCCCGAAGCCTGATGTAATGCATTGAATGCGGAGCATTTCGACTGAAGAGTCGATATGTGTCTTTAAGGAGCTGTGTAAATGAAACGGTTGGATAAGCCTGTAAGCAGTACAATTTCTTTTGTGTGTGAAAAATAACTGAATGTCCAGAATTCTAAACATCTGACCGTATCTCAAGTACCTGAAGGAAATGTTGGTCAGGTCAGAGTTTGTGAATCCTTGGCAGCAGTTACTGAAATTCTCCTACGTACTTAACAACTTTGCTCATTAAAGTTTGGTAAGTGAGAAATGTAAACCAACAATAAGTAGTGCGCGGATTGAATCTTCGCCTGTTCTCGTCAAGAGGTAGATTTGACGCATTATGAAAAAGCTAAAAACTGCAAATAAGCTGTCACATTTCTTTCTTGAAAGATGCCTGTTCAAACTAAATTTAGTTTCTTTATTTCTGAATGATGAAAGAACCTTTAAGGGCCGAAATATCACGAATTTTGATCTATAAGTTGTAAGAGAGCACTCTGGTGAGATCCTCTTTCCTTTTTTCGAGTTACACATTTTCCAATTTTACAGGAAGTAGTATTAGTTGCATCCAGTATCACAATTTATATGTATTCAATGTGTTTCCTCATCGAAATGAGCGAAGAAAAAACATTTACTTTTATTTTCACCGAATTAATGAGAGTTTTACTGCCAACTGAGCTAGCAAATGTTTACGGTGAAGCTACTTTATTTGTTTCACGACTCCCAATTTTAGGAATTCTAATAGCGTATACATCATTTCTCATTTAATGCAAGGTTGAAATACTTTATGATGGTGGTGGAAGAGACAATTCTGGTAAAATTGAGAGAATAATCAGGAAGAAAAGTTCTTAAACAAATCTCAGGAACTCCATCAGATGATGGGCACTTCACCCTCCAAGGATTTTTACACTATGGAGTTATGGGCTAATACTGACAAGCATAATATGATATATCTGAGCGGTCTCTTACTTACCTAACTTTGATGAGCGAAGGCCTAAAATAAGTAGAAGAATTGCATTAACTGCTGCCAAGGATTCACAAACTCTGACCTGACCAACATTTCTTTTAGGTACTTGAGATACAGTCAGATGTTTAGAATTCTGGACATTCAGTTATTTTCCACACACAAAAGAATTCGTACAGCTTGCGAGCTTATCCAAACGTTTCATTTACACGCCTCCTTAACAACAAATATCGACGCTTCGCAGCCATAACACTCCGCTTTCAACGCACTTCATCAGGCTTAGAGATAGGATGTTGGAGACATCAAGCATTTGATCCACGATTAATACTTATCATAGTGAGCAGCTTATGACATAGACAGTAAATTTTTTTTCGTCAAATTTCAATACAGTGTATCTGTAAGACTGGCAGTGCTGCTGTGATCAGGTTCTTGACAGATCTCAAATAGCTAAAATATCTCTATCCTGCGACATGATATGGAGGTTAATAGATTGAGAATTTGATCACAAGGTATTGATACAGTCTAGAAAAAATTATACACCATTTAAAGTCAAAAGAAAGTTCGATAACTAAAATTATCCATTATGAAGTTGAACAATCTGCGGACCAGGCTCAGAGTCTCGAGGAATCTGCTTCTCACTACATAAGGTGAAACCACCGAAAGTATCACAAATGTTGATTAAAAGGGGCGAATTAATTTTTTACCTTCTAATAGGTCATTTTATGACAATTTGGAAGAGTTTCAAATGAAAAATTGGAAAATTTTCCGCTTTGCAATTGATTAGGAAGAATGTAAACAAGCCGCCATAATGCCAACAGCCGAGTAGCATCAGTCAACTTTAGGCGAAATCAGAAAATACATGACTGTTGTTCCGTTGGATCCCCGAGAATTAGATGTGCCTCACTGAAAACCCAACGTGCTCGGTCTCTATTTGTCTCTGTGAATTCGAGAATAAGATTGTAACGGTCGGTGCGCGTTGATGATGCGCAGACAATTATGGCTATATTCCTTCTTAAGTCCCTCAAACCTGAGCTGAAAGTCCTTCTCCGGAGTAATATCTGTCTTTCCTGGAGTGATCCCATGACGCCCATGAGCTTTCCATGCCAAAGCGAGCTATCCCACTCATCGCAAGAAATGTTCACTACTTGATGCTTTGAGCAGGATAGCTCCGAAATAATTAACTCCGGCCACTCAGGCCAGAATATTTTTTAACAGTGTATTTATTGAAACTTATTGCAGTAAAATTCAAATAAGTTGCATTCTTCATTGCATTGCAAATTGCCTATCTTTCCGACACATGAAGCTCATTTTGTTGATTGTTTAAAATCGGCATAAATCGACTAAATGATGTAAAATATTGCAAATTAATGGTAAAAAAATTACGATTTTATTGAAATAATATCACGATTTCATTTCAATATTTTCGTTGCCCTGTGCTACTTGGGGTCTTTATAGTTTTAACTTCCTTGCAGACGTATTGATTCTGCGGAATACGATTTCCACTGATGCGGTGAAGCAATGCAAAAGAAAATGAATATCCACGTCACAACTTGGGGGAACCACTTTCCATCTGCTCCACGCTGAGTCAAAGTTACAAACCCTGTGTTAACAAACCATTAGCGTCTTTTCTTACTCAAATTAAAAAATTGGAGTTTTCTTCAATTTACTATAGAAAAAATTTTAAGTACGTCCTGACATGTCATCACTTAATGGGCTATGTTGGCTGTAGGAGTCAATTCATTTTAAAATTTGAGCACCTACAGTTTGTTTGACTTAATTCTTCTTAGCTGAGTGTTAGAATTACTAAACTCACTTTGCACCACTTATTTTTGCCACCAAACTGATTTGTAGGTCGCTGAAAGTATAAGCTTTCAATCGGATTCTTGCTTCAAACTTGTACCGCGAAGCTGCTGAAAACTTGCCCAAACTTTCTGAAATTGAGATAAAATGTGTTTGCAGCAAGCCAAAAGTAGAAACTTACTGCAAGAATCTTTCACAAAACCACCATCAAATTTGTATCCAAGTCTTGCTGCAACCTTGCCTTGAAGCTGTGCACAAAAAAAGCGCATTCCCTCTCACCCACACCACTATAAAAAATAAAAAAAAAGCTCAAAACTCAGATTACCTACTCCGGAAAGTTGCACATCAAGATTGCCAATGTCACTCGTCCAGGTAGTTGTACTGCGCACAGGTAAGAAGACCTAAGCTAATAATCAAGCTACCAGGACGGGTGACTTCGGGAATCTGGACGTCTAACTTTCCGGAGGAGGTCATCCGAATTTTGACAACCGAGGTGGTGAGCGAGAGGCGAGAGGTAATGAGCTTTTTTTGCGGGTACTGCTAGCTTGGGTTGTAATTTTGTCGTAATCTTGAACCGCAATCTGGCCGCATACTTGCCCCAACCTTACACGGAAAAAAAAAACTTAGCGCTGGCACTGAGTCCTAACACCTTAGATAAAATAGCGCCTACTAAGGGCAGTAGAGCTAACGATAAGCCCTAACGCTGGACCCTAAAGCTGCATGTCTTTGCGCTACTGCTTGTAGTTGGCGCAGTTTTACCTAAGGTGTTAGGGTATATAGGTTTTTTCTTAGAAATTCCATCGTGATTGCTTTTGCGTGGCGTCCAGTTCTACAGCAAACGAGGTTTTGCAGCTCTCTCTCCCTCCGCAAAATTTGCTTAAGACCCCCCCCCCCCCATTCCGATCAAATTCCAAAACAAACCCCTCATCCTCCACCCTCTCCCCTTGAGCTTCGAATCACAGAAATTATTAAGAGAATCGCCCTTGAAGATAGCTCTTATATCTAGGCATGAAATGTGCAAGGCTTTATCTGTTTTATCATCACTGATTCACTTAAATATTTTTGCAAATAAATAAAAACAAAAAAGCAGTGACCAGAGCTCATTTCAAGGAGAAACCTGCACTTCACTATTCAGCCTGGCCAAGGATTGATAAATTAAATCCTGAGATTTGGGCCCTCGAGAAATCATTAAATTAAAAACAGTGAAATAATAAAAAAAAAAAAAAGAAGAAGAAGAAGCATAGAGTACCCTAGTCACAAAAGCCACAGAGTTTCAAGTCATAANAAAAAAAAAAAAAGGTCCCCCCCCCCCCCCTTTCCAAGTTATTGAGCCTCGTTTAGAGCTGCCTTATATTTTGCAGCATTTTGATGAGGTTTATTTACAAGGAGTAAAACTAAATAAAAGTTCTTGTCATCATTAAGATTTGTTCCTTTTGCAAATTTTAAACCACCTAGTGCGACACACAAAAAAAAAATCTTTTAGCATAAATAAGGAACTCATTATTAAATCTGCAACATGGCAACATGGTTTAGGATGCATTGCAGTGTTGCTCTTTTCTGCATTTTGCCTGCCGTACAACTGCAGCCCTCTGCAGGAAGAACGATGTACCACAACAATGCGGCCGATGCTGCCACCAAACGCTTTCAAACTGCACGAACACTGCTTTCAATAAAAAACATTTAAAAACGGGCAAAATGTATTGTTAATCAGGAAATGTCATTCTATTTTCTTATTACGATGGTAAAGTTGGAAATACGAAGTAAAAAGAATTAACTATCCACCTATAAGCCATAGTATAACTGTCGAAACAATGGTGTCAGAGTGTATTTTTGGTTTATGAGAGCCACGCCTGCAGGCAGGAGTGAGCTCTGTCACAAGAAAGCAAATGGCCGTCAGTTGATTTCTCGACCGTGTTGCTACCGGAAGGCCGGCCTGATTCTCGTGGAAATTGTGTGAAAATTTAATATTCGCTCATTTTTATACGAAGTTCGGCTTATTACGATTTGCCGATCGTTCCGGAAGTGTTATCGTCTTATTGTGTCGCGAATTAAAAGTAGGTTGCGCTACTTATGAGTACGTGAATTCGCCGTGTGTTACCAGTATTGTGACAAAGGCTTCCTACGGAGTACCTCTGCTTGTTCAACACCGAATCACTCTCTGTTTTCCGACTTTTACTCTTAAATTTTGACTCTCGGAACGTAAACTGATCCTTTTTGCGTTCCCGCTAGTGATTCCAGCTCGCTGATACTGCCCATCAGCCCACCTCATTCCTGGCAACAACCTGTTCGTCGCACCATTATGTAGCTACCTACATGCAGTGCAGCATATTTCTACAGAATCGCGTGCTCAGATAGTGTTTTGAATCGCGTTTCACTGAAGCCGACTACGGTCGCACTTTTCTAGTTCGGATTCCCTTGTGTGATTAAATCAACTCTTCAGTTGTCTCTTCGCCTCTACTTAACGATTGTGTTAAGTAAATCTGTTTAAATTAGTGTACCTTTCGGCGAAAATGTAACGTGGTTTTAAAGGTAGTCATCTATTACTACCTTGTTGTGTTTTCGGATATTCTCTATATTCCTGACAATTTTGTGGAGTGACCGGTGAATCTTTTCACAGGATTATCTCGTTTAATGGGGCTGTCTTCAGTTGGATAACATGACAGAAGTTAGATTGCAATTTCTGAATTTTGCCTGATTTCATTTTGTGACTCCAGCATCACAGTCATGAAGATGCTATTTTCCACTGCCTTTATGTTATTCTCATGGCTCTTACTAGCTACTACGGGTCATGCTCAGTTTCGAAGCGAAAGTTCAATTCTAGGAAGGCGCTTGTATGATGATCCAGCGAGTGGCGTTTTCAATAAAACATTGGTTTCCAAGCACAAAGAGACAGCATCAGTCTCGCCTCCAAGAATCGCGAGGACAACAATAGCTGTACCGAGCACTCCTAAATCACCTTCGTTACCATCACCTACAAGTCAAAGCTCGTATGTTCCTCCCAACAGATTTCCGTTTACTCCGCCTCTTCCAGCAGATTATCACAGCCCTTTTGCTAACAAAGATACTCTTCGTGACAGCAACTCTGACAATTCTAATGTCCCAAATCGTAGACCCAATCCACCTCCTCCGGTGCGAGTACCGTCAGAAATGGAGATGATTCCCATTCGACCTATGTTGCCTGCCCAAGACACCAAGAAAACATCTCTAAATAAGCCAATAATGAAGAAGTTTCAAGATTTGAACTACTCAGAGGCGTCTAGCACCAGCACCAGTCTCAGTCCAAGAGGAACAAATGAGACTTACGAATATGTTCCAGTTGATAACATTCTGCCTTACTTTAGTGTATCACGCATATTGTCTGGAGGCAATGGTCGAAAACCAATGATCTCGGATATGCTGAATCCTTCTCAACCCAAAATTGAGCCTGAAACTAAGGTCTCTTGGGCCATCAAACAGGAAGCTCCAAAGGTAACTAGCCTACCTGCCTCTAGTCCAAAACCTATTGAGACTTTTGAGAACAAAGCAGAAGCTAAGTTTGAAATACCTTTGAAAAATCATCCTGTTATTTCAAGTCCAACCACATCATCAGCGCTTAGCTCTTATGCTTCTCAGCACAATAACGTTGAAGAAGAATTAGATCTGCCAAAAGAAGATGAAAAGAAGTCTGAAATGGTCAGAACAGTAGTCATGCCTGAGTCGCCTGTTGCTCCAAGACCAGAACATCAAGAGCCAGAAATATCCTCCCTTCCGGATCTACCAGAGCCGAGGACAAGGTATGTCCTGGGGGTTGCATGGTACGTTCATGTCTACCTGATCGCGATTTTGTTTTCTATTCTTATCTTGTGTTCGGTATTCAATATTATTCGTTTTAGTGCGTATAAACATCTACTATCATTCGGATACTTTATTACTTTACATGGCTTCTTATTACTCATTGGATGTCTGAGAAGCTTTTACTTGTTCTATGATGCATACAACATCAACCATACAATACCAGAACCGCTCTCGAGGTTAATGCTAAATACAGTGTTCCCATTGCTCACTTCAACATTTGCAGTTCTGTTTTTATTCTTGTTGCAAGCAACCGATTTGCATCCCACCAGTTCGCGGATACAGAGGCCATCCGTATTGGCAATATTCATTCTAATTCATATCTGTCTCAGTGTTTGCATTGATCTATATTCAGACGCGTCGCCTTATTCTGAAGTGTTGCCATTAATTTTCCAGTGTATTTTCATAATGTTGTGCATAATGCTCGGAGTGACATACATTTATCTGTACAAATCACTTACGCATTCATCGTTACGAAAGCAAGGCACTATTTTCGGTTCGGCATTTGCGGATCCTCATCGTCCAACGCTAGCACATGCCATCAGAGTGACCCTAGCTACGGCTCTTTTAAGCCTGCTAATGGCAGTTGTTCAGCTCTATGGCATGTTCGGAGTGTATGAAGTGCTTGGCAAAGATCAACCTCACCCGTGGCTTTGGTGGGGCTTCCAGTTCTCTGTTCGTGTGATAGAAGTTTCTATGTGCTTCTTACTTGCCTGGGCTGGAATTCAACCTCTACGTTGTGAAGAGGAGAAGGAGACCCAAAGTCATAACTCCTCCACAGGATTTGCGCTGTTTTCTTGTGGTGCCACCACTCCACGAGGGAGTGATACAGGTGTTGTTGATGATATCTACCCAGCCATTTGTAGTACAAACCAAGCTATACATAATTATTCTCTGCGGACTGGTAAGCAAGTTTATGATGATACTTTTCCCTTAAATAATTTACCTTTAGCTGGTAATATGTTTAGTCACACAACAGAGCGGCGTTCCTTAAAAAAGCACCCTGATCATGACTTGAGTAAGTCAATCTGCGGAACTTTAGTTTCGTATCCGGAGCGGCAAATCCAGCCCTCTCCATCAATGCTAGTCGCGGAGAACGGATTCGTCCGATTCCGATCTCTAGCTGATGGCGAACAGCCACCAGAAGATTTATACACTCCTAGCAGCTTAATTTGTCATAGGGATGATTATGGCACGTGAGAATACGCTAAACTCAATTAATTACTTCTCTGTTTCATAACTATCCCTAATTGAAAGGCACCATCAGGTGTCAAGTGATATACCTTTTTGTTTCATCAGTGCATTTAGTTTTAAGTAGGTAGATTTTTTCCAATTTGATTATTCCTTTTTTTTCACTCTGAATATTCAGATACATGTTCCTTTTTCTCAGTCAACCCAAGCATCTATCGCATGCTTGGATAATGTTAAAACCTACATTTTCGTAGGTTACCCTCCCTCCGTTTTGGGTTTTTCTTCTAGCTGCTGTTCTATTCTGTTCTAAGAATATGCCTCAAAGCATTAGAAGTAACCTACGCCCTAGAATCTCCTGTGTAATGAAGTAAAATCATAAGTGCTGCAGATGAAAGTTGACTTTAAATGGATTGCCATTTTTCGCTGATTATAGGTATTGTTCCCCTCTTTGTTTATTTTTTGCGCAGTCTAGAACTTTCCTCAAAACCCATCGTCAAAAATGTATTACAGATGGCTAGATTACAACAAAATTAACAATTGAACGGTTTTTCATATGATGCAGCAGAGATGTATTGTTTAGTGCCTCACTGCTTTCCATGATCATTTATCAGATACTTCATTGGTTTATTGGTTTAAACTTACTTAAAATGAATGACCTCCAATTAATGTAATTGACCTGATCTGGCATATTTTCCTCTCTCAAGTAGGTACTTGCTTAGGAAATACCTAAAGTTTTGTTGATTGTTGTAGAAACCTTTTCTTGAATTTCTTTGAAGTTCATTCGACCTCATCAAACTTCAGTTTTATGATAGCAGTGAATCTGTTGCAGCCTGAGCAGTAGTTTCCCTGAGTCTCAGGTCAAGTGCCCAAGCTGTTTGAAATTCTTTTCTTTCTTGTCTATTTTATGGATGTTGACTCCTGCAGAAAAAATGCAATTTATTGTTCACCATGAATACGTAAGAGCACTACAACTTGAGGTATTTAGGTCTAAATAAATTATGTGCTTCATGAATTACTCCCAGGGTATTTGTGTGCTCTCCCCCATGACAAGTACACAGAAGTAGAATGATCATAAACAGCTGTCGACTAGTTGAGAACACACACTTTTTATTGTCCTCTTTGATCACTGCTCTATTTGATTTTATTAAAGGCAAAAGAATGCAATTGCTCCCTTGTCATCTAGTTAAGTGGAAATGATTTAGTCACAGAGGTGTTTTTCCTGTTTAAATGTCCAGTGCTTCTCTCCTCGTGTTCTGTACTAGGGAGACATGCCTGTCTCAAAACCCATTTACGCAGCTAGGTACATACTTAATACCCGATTTATACCCACTCAAGAATACCTTGTAAGTGGCGGTAAGCCTAATATAGATTTTTAAGTATGAATTTTCAATTGCCAATTTTTTTTTTTTTTTAATTTAGTCAGTATGTACCTATTGACAGTGTTTTAGCATATAAATGGTCCCCCTGATCACTTTCATTTGCAGCTTTTTTTCATTTCATTATTCGTAAGTACTTAATTGAATGCCGTCCTCTTCCTGATACAATTCTCACTTTAGAAGTATGGTAATACAGTGCGTAGGTACCTACTATGATATTTTTTTAGGTATTTTTCACAATTTAATTCTAATACTTCTTACTTTCTTTGTTCTTATCCTAAATTGGTGCTAATTAATTGATAGTTGCGTATTCTCATTGCTGCCTGATCTTCATAGATTTTCGATTTCTTGTTAACGTACAGTGTGATATTAATATTGTTGTCGAAATACTACGTATTTCGATCGAGGTGCATTTATTATTCGAAAGTTATATTTTTGAGGAGAGTTGACTTACCTTACTGAGACCCCGAGACATGCTTTTGCTCGAAGTTCGATTTAAATTTTAATTCCAGTCGTTTGTAGTCACTCACCCGAAACCCCAAATTCGCCTATTAGCCACTATTTTTTTGGTCCTATTTGCTCTGTATTCCGCGGGTGACTCCTCGAAATTTTAGAGTAGAGCTAGACTTAACAGACTTAACAGATGGCATTGATGTGTAACACTAAGCAACTGTTTACCATCTAATTTCTTTCTCGCAAAAAATTACTTAATTTTCTGTAACATTCACATGTACCCAGGATACGCGTTCTGCTCAAATTTGAAATACCTATTGTTGAAAAAAAAAAGTTGACGGGAATGTTGCAACTCTTTAAGTAAAGTCAAATTCATCCACAGGAATTTTACTAGGTAACTCCATTGACCTCCCGGGGTCTCAGCTAAGGTGTCCGTAACAATTAACTGTCCTAAAGGCCAAGTACCCCTCAGCACTTGTAAACCGTAAAACATGTTTGTAGTTTGGAAGTGGAGGATCTTTGCAGGTTATTTGACGAAAACCGTGAGTATTTACGTACGATTAACTTGAGTTGATCAAAGGCTTACCTTTCGTCAGAGGTATTCACTTGAGCCAAGCAGAGATTAAAGTTTTCCAGTTACTCCCCCACAAATTTTATAGAAACATTCATATCTTGCAATCAGTCGCTCCCTCAGGATACACGATCTCTTTTTCATGAGGCGTGTACATTTCATAATTTCTAAGTAACTGTCTAGAACTGCTCGAGTCGTTAATTTTTGTTCAACACTTAATCCTCTTTGATCCTCCGACTTCCAAATAAGATTGTCCTGTCCCTCTTCAGTTAGCTGTTACCGATAATGTGCCTGTCTTTTCTCCTTTGTAATTGTGTAAGACTCTAGTGAGTTTTCATTCGACTGCAAATATGTTCATAACGTATGAATTCGACCTGTACATACCTATGTAAAGTAAAACCTAGATAAAATTTCACGCGCCAAAATGACGATGCATCGTTTGTTCCTACACGATGCCTACGATACCGTTTATTAACGTCTTAAGTTTTTAACAAACTTTGTTTCTTTATCTGTGATGTTTACCATCCTCTCCGTTGTAATGGAGGAGTGCATTCTTGGATTGACCAGTAGATGAAGTGCAGACTTTTCTCGAGAAAATTCCCTTGATACGGCGACGAACGCGACAGATTTTTTTCTCAAAAGTAACAACTTGTCGCTGGACTGTAAGTTTCTCGTGGTTAAAAAAAAAAAAAAAGTAATTGAAAATCCACAAAACCCCCAATTCCATACTTGAATCATGCGCATCTCGAACGTCTCACACCTACTACTTTCCTGGAAAACAAATATCGTATACTTTCTCCCCTCCGTGGATTTTGAAATTTTGGCGAGGGGTTTCAGCCCTGATTTAAGTCTCACATCATTTACTGCTCAGTTCCAAAATTTCACGGCCCACGGGCCAATTAATCATGTGAAATTCAACGGCATTTGGATGCACGTTTCGGTGAACGTATCGAAGCTGGACCCACTAACGTTCAAAACCATAGCATATAGTACGTAAAGTAAAATAATATATGTAGGTAGGTTAGGGCGTTTTAATGTCTTTGATATGAAGACAAAGATTTGCAAAGTTAACATTAAACTCAATCGTTCTCTCTAATAACGATTTTTTTGGAATTGCAATATCTGATGTGATACTCAATTGCCTGGAAACAGGCGCGTAAAAATTATCATTTCGTCCTTTTCACTGAAATGTTGATTTTTCAACTCATTTTATAGGGTCAACCCTACAAAACAAACAGCCCTAATTTATCTAAGCAAGGTCACTTGTAGCAGTGCTTGTATTTAGAGGGGTAGAACATCAGTGTTAAATTTAAAATAGGTATTGGATGATTTAACAGAAGAGCAAATGCATTTAATAAAAAGCCATTTAAATTTAAATTAGGCTACGTTGAAATGTATACCGGCGCTCCTCGATCGCCATCGCCTGGCTCTGAGATTCCAAAGCTATAAGTAAGGAGCAGCGGCGTGGCGTGAATGATCGACTATCGATGTTCCCCCATTTGAAGCTATGGTAAAGAATCGATTATTAAGGTGTTCGTTGCGAATACCCTGTCTATCGATACTTTTCCGTAGGTTTAAATGGCTGAATAGTCGATGTATCGCAAAGCACGCCACGCCACTGGTCAGGAGGAATTTCGCCGTGTGTGTCCAGATTCGATCGTTCTAACTGAACGAGGCAAGTTTACCAGGAAATACGCGTCGCACCGTTGTAGTGATATGATATCCTCTCGTTGAAATTATTGTTTTTTCTTCGAAGGGGTTTTGTTGAAATGTACATTGCTGAAAGAGGCCGCGGCACTGTATTATTTTTCTCAACGTATTTTCGTCCAGGAAAAACAGTACTGTCGCGCTAAGGCAAGGCGCCGCATAAAAGGTCGAGGGTTGCCAAATTTCTTCAGATGAAACGTCTATTTTTGAGGGAAGCTTTGAATCTTTTCCTTTGAATTTTAGGAACTTCAGGTAAAATTGAGAAAAAAAAATTTCAGACAAATCGGAAGAAAAATGTTCATAAGTGGCCTGGAAATTTGCGATTTATCAGATGAAATTTGGCAACACCAGAAGGTTCATATGGCGTTCTTCCTCAGCTTGGCAGAGTAGGTACTCGCTGTCTTGCCGAGTATTCAATATTCCCGCGTTGAATTCTTTCGAACCTGTTTTGTAACTGTAGAATGTTGTGCCAGGGCGAGGTATTCGGATAACGCGAAATTCTCGCAAGATTCCTCTCTTTGCATTTTCAAGTTCCTCTCGAGGAACCATTAAAATTAGCGAACGGATTAAAGATCTCTTCGGAAGAAAGTCTATTTCTTGTAAAACTGCGTCTTTAGCCTTTGTTTTGGGGTCAGAAAGGGGGGAGGCATGCTTCAATACTAGGGAAAGGCCAATTGTTTCGTAGATTTTATTAATATTGCAAGTTTTTTTTTTTATATCTGCGAGCACCACTGGGATCCCCTCGCGAACTCCTTTTATCTCATTTGGCTCTCGATACAGTTTTTTTTCTCTATGAACCCCAGATACAGAGAAGTCTTTTGCTTCGATTTCAAGCTTAATATCCTCTTCTGAATACCCGACTTGTATTCCTTTTATCACTATTTTAAAAGATCTTTCTGTTTTTAATTGAAAAGAATGGAAATGGATGTTGCTTTCTTTTAGGGCTTTTTAATTTTTGTTTGAACGTCTGGAAAACGACCAAAACTGAAAAATTTCGAGTTTGAGTTACATCGTTAGAACCCTGTCCGCCGTGCTCTTGCTGACTACAGCAATATACCGATATTGGTCGCACGTCACATCGCCAGTCTGTCTTATGTTTATCCTTTCGAAGTACTGCTCATACCTGCAGACGAAGTATAATTTCTTAGATACGAGAACGATTTGAGCAATAATTTCAAATTTCACTTAAACGTCTGGTAAGAACGCTCGATTGGTCGTAAATTCACTCCTCTTGCCGTCGCGGAGGTGCGAGCCGGGGAAGGTAGAAGTCGGAAGAAAGTTGGAAAAAAAGGGATTCAAGAGGTAGAACTTCCGCGGTTTTCGTCGGGCCCTGCTTTCCTCTCCGCCGACCACCCCTTTTCCGCCCTAAAAGTGTCAGCCGGAATGGCTTTCTCAGCCCTCCAAATAAGAGTTTTAATTGCAGCGCGGGCCAGAAATCAACTGAACTGAATCAAGGTTGCCATTCGCTCACCTCTGTTCTCTTGCTCTTGTTTAAATGTTACAGAATCTCATTCAGGTGAAGGAAAAATCTGGGCCCACTAACATAATCAAAAACTGCAACCCCCCCCCCCTCCCCCCATTACCTCGTCCACACTTCCAATGTTGTCGGACGAATGTAAGTTGAGTCCCAATACATTGAGGTCATTAGGGGAGAAGGTAAATTGAGTCCCGACTCCTAATTGGTGGTACGTAAATTGAGTCCCGGTAGCATTGTCACTGTATGCGTAAGGATGGGAGAGTGTGCGTAAGAGGCAAGAAATGAAGTAAATGTTTTGTGAAGTTAAGTGATTGTAAAAAGCTTAAATTTTATCTGCAAGTATTCACGATTCTTGGTTGGGGACATCGGGCCCCGGGAGCCCAAAACGGGTAGAGCAAAGACAGGGTTAATATGCATTCTCTTGCAAACCAACGGAGAAAACGTTCCTCCATAGAAACAATTTAGGGCCTCCTCGCTCTTAAATTCGTCGCTCCTAAGGAATGAAACGTCTTTAATGGATTTTTAGGCTTGATATAGGGTATTCTGTCATCTTTGGTAGTTTGATGGGGTTAAACAATAGTAATATTCAAAAAATAATGGGATATAGGTCTATAGTTAATATCTGTTGGTTTATTTATAGTATAAGAATTAGATTAAGATTTTTTTTAATATATTTTTCAAGATATATAGTTATGCTTTGTTGGTCTTCATATACGGGGGTCGGCATCATGGATTTGAGAGTGCGGCCACATGTGACCACTTTTAGTTTGTCATTGTAAAAGTACAACCCTTTGCTTTCCTCTTCTACATGTAGATTTATTCGGGGAAAGTTTGCTTGTGGTACGATCACGTCTTTTGTCTTTGTTCCTCGCCAGATAGTTCTGGTTCTGAAAATCGACACAGGCATTTTGTCTTTCTCTGAAAGGCTTGTCTCATCTGTAATCATAAATAAAAAAAATAGATAATTATCAAAATACTTGCCTCACCTGTAAATCATAATAAAATATAGATAATTATCAAAATACTTGCCTGACCTGGAAATCATAATAAAATATAGATAATTGTCAAAGTAAAGCATATTGCTCTATCTTACATTTCGGATGAAACCCTCTGGCTCTGAAAAAGGAAATTAATTCGGAAAAATTTTCCATTTTAATGGTGGCATTCCTCACCTTGCGTGATTCTCTGTCTTGTCGATGTCGAAGGTTGACTTGCGTCTCTTTTTCGTTTTGTTCCGAACATTTCTCCTGAAAAAAAAAATGAAACACGATTTGAATATTAGTACAAATCAAGTGGAACATTTTCGTTGAACGTGTACCATTTTTTTTTTTTCACCCGACATGTTCGGTTTATCACACGGAAATATATATGTCAAAGAAATAATGGTAAGAAAATTGCCGAATACGGGGCGTACAAAGGGACATCGGCACGGGGTGCCTTTTGGGGCGGGTATATACTTGCCTCTACCATCTTTTTTTTTTTTTTTTTTTTTTTTTTTCTTTCCATGGCCACATTCCACCTTTCGAGGAAAAAAAAACAGATTATCTATCTATTATATCACGCCTAACAAAAAAATCTTGACGGAAATTCGTAGGCGTGTTTAGGTGAAAGAGAAATTAAGCGGATAATGCAGAATTTTTACAGAAATCTGGTCAAAAGTAAGAGACAACTTTTGCAAGTAACGGCAAGACTTTACCACTATTACTTATTCTACTACTTATCACTACCACTACGCTATTTTCGTATTGTTTATAAAACTATTAGCTACTAAACTGTTCAGTAAATGAACAAATTGCGAAAATTCTACACATCTTAATTAACTGGTTAGTAAGTTGATATTTTTCCCCAACAGTGAGGTCGATGGGGCGAACGATGCGAAGGGGAGTGAACAAGTCAATGCTGTTTAATGCTTTATGTACTTTGGGGGGGGGGGGGGATTATCTATCTATTATATTCTTTTAGGAAAAAACAAATTCGTTTCAATTCCTCGCCCTCTTCGACGGTGGAGAGGCCCTTTGGCCCCCGTTGCACATTTCTTTTTATAATTTGTTGCCCTTTCTATCGAAACACGTGCCTTCAACGTCACGGCCTCGTGAAAACCCGGCACGTTTAGAACGCAGTATCATCGGAACATAAACTCGGACGATCGTTCCGGCCGCCGTATCGGAAAACAGGTCGAAAGCCTCTTTCACGGGGAGATTTGTCTTATTTTCGTGGTCGTTCCGGAGAGGTGAACGCATGAAATCGTCCAGCCTTTAACCACCCCGATAAATCCCCCCATTCGCAGTTTTAACAATGGACAGAATCGACGGGCTTTTAATGAACTTTTGTTTGGTCACCGCCAATGTTCCCGTTGCCACGTTTCCGGAAAAACGTCGTTCGCTGGACGTTTCTCCAGGGTCGGGGCGCGCAGTCCGGCAAGGGTGCGACGGGGGACGGTCGTTAGAAGCGTTAACGCTGCGAGCATTCTGTGCGTGGAAAATGTCGAGTCGCCAATTTCACGGCCGAATCGCGCCCGAAGTCGTTAAACCCGGATTCGGGTGCCGAAAGGGTTGCGCCCTGCGGGGCGACCCTCCCGCGCTAAGGGATAACGCCGTATGCACATTCGAACGTTGCCGAATTTCTTCCGGTGAAATGTCTATTTTTGAGGAGCACTGGAAAAATAAACACGTTGGATCTAGAGTCCAGACTCTTAAAAACATCGTCAAGAAAACGTACTCTCGGTTCAATCAGAATCGAGCTTAAATCAAGAACCAAGCCTCTTAATTTAAGCGGTTTTCGTTTTGATTCAAGCAAAAATCCGATTGAATCAAGATTCCTTTTTCTTGTCAATGTCTTCAAGAGTCTGGACTCTGGATCCAATGTGTTTTTTTCCCAGTGAGTCTGTTGAGAGATGAGGGTAGATTTACGTGAAACACTCTTCGTGAACTTGAGAGGAATATTATTCCGATTGCATTTTCTAGTGCCGCGGTATACAGTCTATATTCGGGAGTTTCCTGATCCCATTATCTTACTGTAATCTATTGAAATGAAAGCTTAAGACTACGTCAGCAACTTGGTATAAAGGACAAAGAAAACTATCACTCGTGCCCATGTGACGAGCAAGCCATTGCCGCAAAATCTTGCATCTTAACGAAGTCATGAATATTTTTACGCGAAATTTTGAGATCCTTTAGATTACATCAATACCAAAATACTCTAATTAAACATGGGGGGCCGGGGGGGGGGGGTCTTACAATTTTCGGGGTAAATTCATATTTTATCGAAGGGAATTGGGCAACGTTGGAAGGCGCGCACGGCGTTTCTCTATTCTATATGACGGCGGCTGGGTAGGTAGGCAACCCCGCTACTCACCGCGGGGGTTGATGATGCGGCTTCAAGAGGGCTTACGTAACAACGTAAGGATGGCGGCTTCGCTCCGCTCTCGGCCCGTAAACGCTGTGTCCGCAGCGTGGCGGCCCACCTCCACCTACCCTTACGAACCCGTTCGATTTCACGTCCCAAGTCGCTCCTGTGGAGTGATCTCCTTTCATTTCTCTCGCGCATCGTAGGCTGTACCACACTGCCGTAAGGGCCTTCAGACGTTCCCAAATTTACTTTGATAAATTGCGGGTTTTCTGGGGAACTTTTGAATATTTTCCTCCCAATTTTTCAGATATTTTTATCAGCAATTCTACCTAAAATATTTGAAAATTGTAAGGACAAATTTTCATAACTACCTACAAAAATAAACAATCAACCGCGTGAGAATTGGCAACATTCGAATGCGTATATGGCGTTTTTACTCAGCGCTGCGGTGCTGCCGTGTCTCTTTTAAGGTGCCCAAAATGCACTTTTTTCTTTCTTAACGCGATCGTCTAGGGACTATCTCTTGTCGGTAGTCGAAAAAATCATGTAAAGCGCCCCATTAGATCTCTGGTACAAATTGTGGGGGAAAACCATATATGTTTAACCCGACGCAGAAGGATCTAGCGAACGCATAATATTCCTCCTCCTTCGTATACTAGCTTCAGCTGCCGTATTCTTTTTAAGAACACGGTTACCTCTCTCCTTAAATAGCACCCACACACTTAATATATTTTTCTACTACACTGCACAAAAAACACATTGGATCTAGAGTCCAGACGCTTAAAAACATCGACAAGAAAAAGTACTCTTGATTCAATCAGAATCTAGCTTAAATCAAGAACCAAGCCTCTTAATTTAAGCGGATCTCGTTTTGATTCAAGTAAATATCCGATCGAATCAAGAGTATTTTTTCTTGTCGATGTTTTCGAGAGTCTGGACTCTAGATCCAATGTGTTTCTTTCCCCAGTGTATCCAAAATATTAATATTGTTGCTTTGAAAGTACAGTGTCAAAAACCGTTCACCTGCCTAACATGCGTCGAGTAGCCGAATAAAACAAATCACAAAATGGAGAAAAATAAATCGTACAATTAATTAATGACGTGGGATTTATCTTCAACATTTTTCCCCTCTCATAATCTCAAGATATCAAACGTTCCCCAGGGTTGCAATTAATTATTGTCTGCTCGGCGGTTATAAAACTCTCTTTCGGGTTGCCCCTCTTCTCCGGCGGATTCAGCGGGAAGACTGGTTGGTTTATTTCGTCGCTCCTATGACGTAAGAGCGTATCCTCGTTTTCACTTGAGGTTTGGAACGTATGGAGTTAAATGGGCAAGAGGGCTCACCTCAAAAATCGGTTACGCCCTTACGTCTGAGGAGCGACGATTTACGAGACCCGAGTGTACTCTATGTGGGAGGTTGTTGGTGCATTTGTTTTTCCTCCGCCCTGTTGCCACAATGTATACAAAAAGTGTTCTTTAAATTATTGCTTGCCTGTAATTTCATTGTATCTTCCTTATTACCTAAGCAGGTTCTCAGTTTTGGCGCAATGCATTCTTGGCACCATCGATTTGTCACACGTTCAAACTTTTAGATGGATTATTTAAGAGAAATCGAAGTTTCAGTCACCAGATTCTTTATTGAAGAATGTTCACGCTGAAAATTATCTACCATAATCTGAAAGTAAAGCCGAAAACGTTGCATATTTGCAATTGATTTCAGTGTACTTAAATATACCTATCGATGGTTAGTTGAAAACACCACCCTGATTACGGAAGATGATATGATGATTTCTTAATAAGATGAACATATATCTGCAGAATGCATTGCTCTCAAATGTTGAATATAATAGAGGATTCCGAACTAAATTCTTGATACAAGGGGATGCCAATGATGACCTAAGAGTGGAAAGTAATCGTTGGATGTTATAAGATTATCGAGGTAACTTAAGGTTTGGAAAAGGTGGAGTGCTGAAGGTCTGAATGCTGAAACATGTTTACGACGAACTAAAGTAGGAAAGGCACGTTGGTAAACAAGAGCTATGTTATTGACTGGGTCAAGAATTGGACTGGTTTCCTTTTTGACTTCTTAATTAGTGTCAGAGACCGGAATCGTCTGATCAACTAAGACAGTGTGAGACTAAAACGTCGGTTCCTCCAAAATAAGCCTCTTAAGCAATCGTTAACATTTGAAATATATCGATTTATCCACCTAAAACGTAAACTGATTGTATCACTCGGCCGAATTATTCATATTCTGTCTCGGAAAAATAATTTACCTTCAAGCATATTTGAAGACTCTTAATTCAAAACGTGGCAAGCGCAATTGGGTGTTGCTAAAATCGTACAATTTTTTCTCTAATTCAACAGGAATCCACTAATCTCAGAAAATAATTCTTTCTAGTGAAGATACGAACCACATAGATACCGTTACCGAATGAAGAGACCATGAGAGGCAGATCTAAACCAGGTTCCAGGATAGGTTCTTACAGTGATAAAAACCATTTACGATCTTAGCAACACCCTATGGCGCCTACCAGCTTTTGATTTTACTCTCCTCATTGACAGAGACTACTTGAACCGCGATGCGCAGAAAAGAATCAAGCCCTTTTTTGCCAAATTTAACCGAGCAATTTCATTTCGCACAAGAGAACGTTTGAGCGGATTCTATTGAAAATTTTCAGAAATTTCCCTCGTTCTACGCAAAAAATTCACCGAAATTCGCATGAAAATCCGCACAACCGTTTTCATGTTGAAAATTGCCGAGTCAAATTCGCCTTTTGGCTCCTTCCTGGTTAACGCGGTCCACTCGACAACCGTTCTGAAAGTGGGTGATCGGAAAACAGGAGCGAATGAAACAGCGGCGTAGAGCGGAGGGCCAAGCGCCCAGGGAGAGGGGCAAAAATGTTAGT